ACTACGCAATGGGAGGGTGAAGGGAAGATGGAGATGTACAGTGGAAGGACAAGAGGCAATGGATGCAAGCTGGAATATGGGCAATCCCAACTAGACATCAGGAAATTATTTTTCACTATAACAGTGGTCAAACACTGGAAGATGTCTGCTCATAGAGGCTGCTGAGTCTCCATCCTCATAGATATTTAGAACCCTGATTGGATGTTGCCCCCACAGCAACCTGGTCTTGATGGCCCTGCAAGGGTTTGAACCAGATCGCTGCCACAGTCCCTTCCAACCTTACTATCATTCCTTGGGTTTTGGTAATGAACAGGAGATATGCTCAGCCTTCAGCCCGATGTTTGTCAGTAGGCAACTTTGATTTAAAAAGTTTCAGTTCTGGATGATTTAGAAAACTCAACTGTGTTTTCTAGACAAAATGAAACACAACTGTGTAAAAGGATGGAGCTTCTCCTAATATTTAAAATGACAGATTCACTTTGTGACTGAACAGGCTTTGTTTTACTTAGGATGCCTTCATGAAAGTCTTCCTGGTTATATAACATTTTAGTTAAAAGAAAAAACAATACAGGAAAAGCTTGCCAAATTGACATATGTCTAGAAATGAAATTTTCCACAAATAGTATCAAGAAGATTTCAAAAATTGTTTTGAAGAAAATAAATATACTAACAAGTCTACCTTACAGCCTCTTTTAATTAAAACTGGCCATCAATTCTGCAAAATATAATGCAAACAACAAAAATATCAGAGACTAAACAAATTTTGCATTTGTAATGTTGCCGTTGGGATCATCATATCCAGGCAACTGTCATTTATAAACCAACAAATGTTTCACTGTGTAGGTGTAAGCTAACACATCACTAGCTACAAATGGTTTCTAACTAATATAAACCAGCAATGGAAATTTCACTGAGAAATACTGAATATTCTGATTTATCAAGTGACCAAAGCTTACAGCCTCAGTAATTTATTTTGGTAGTTCAAATTTAGCTTTTCCTTGTTTTACATGGTATCGAGTGTACCAGGCTGGGCATCTCTATGTTAGGTATTGTGCAAGAAAAGAAAAAATTACAGATCCCATAAGAAGAGCCAAGTCATACCAGGCAATTACAGGGCAAAGCATAAATTAAATAATCCTCTGTAACAAAAGCAAGAGCTAGCTTACACAGTCTGAACCTAATCCTTTGGTCTGGAAAGCAATTGTGAGACTCCTGTAATAATTCTCTGCATATTGAAGAAGTATCAGAGTGTTATCACAAGGGAAGAACTCTGAATCTCATCACAATAGCTGTATAGGTATTTAAACCTCTGTTAAGAGCTATGTGCTTTTAGAAAGTTTACAAACAAGTATTCAGGCAATTCAAGTATCAGATAAGCAAAGAGGAGTGTTTAGTAGGATGTATCCTTATTTAATGTGTTTATCTAAGAGCTGTACTGATATAATTAATAACAGAAGCAGAGACCCACAATAGCTGCTGTCTACATGTAAATAAAGTTTTGTTTTGAGACAAAAGCAGAATACTTTGCTTGATTCTGCAGCAGTTACACTAAACAAACAACAGTTTTGAGTTTGGGTTCCCCATTCCCTTCGTGTTTTTGCTGGGTTTGGGGAGTTTTGTTTTGCTTTTTCATTTGTTTTTAAATTAAAGGATTGACTTGTTTTACAGCATACTCCTATTTCTCAAAGCAGCACAGCACAGCATCCATTTTGAAACAGCTTCAGGTTGAATTAGAGGACCTTTAAAAAGAAAAGGAAAGTTCCAGTCCCTGGATATTACTGCTGTGTTATTCACAGCTCAGAACTGTTAGCCCCCATCATTTAATTTATCCATCCGAAATTAGAGATGGGGGTTAAGACAACTTAGTTTTTAAACACTGACATTTTCACCCAACCATCTCGCCTTTTTTTAAACACCATCTAGTAAAGAATTTCAAAGGGCTCTGCTTCTTTAATGAGGCATTAAAATACAGTCATACGACAAAAAAGCAACTCTACTAAGTCTCTTAAACCCCTGGACTTACATTATCAGCTTTTATGTGCCTGTCAACACTCAACAGTAAGAAGCAATGGTTTGCTCTTTGCCTCGAATTTAAAAGCCAGCTAAACTTCCTCCCACTTTCCTGCTGAGAGCTTTAACTCCTTGCAAACTGTCAAAGCTTTGACACTTCAGCAGCAGATAAATCTACGACATGATGCAATGGCCAGGTGTAGCTTCAATCAGCCACTGGCCACTAATTTACTAGTGGCCATTTCATTCACCTTGAAAAGCAATAAACTAGAAATACTTCCCACCCCCCACACTCCACATAACCACAACGCTTGTGGATCAGCCCTTTTAAATAGATGCTAGCTCTGTCAAAAAACCAGGTACAGTTAACTTCCAACTTGAAAGAAATGAAACATTTAAAACTGTAAAGATGTCAATATATGGCTAAAACGCAAAAGCATTTCAACCCAGATGCTAAACAAAGAGTACAGCATTTTTCAAGAAAAGTGCAAAGTCTTAAATACTAGAACTTCTTTACCCAGTGCATTTCTCTAAATATCCACAGCCTGGATGTGGCATTCAGTGTAAAAGCTCATTGACACAAAGCCCATTATTAATTTGTTTTATAAAGGTGCCAAGCTAAGTGCACCTGTAGAGAAGTAAGATTTGGATGATTTGCTTAGTAGAAAATGTGAAGTTCACAGCTGGGAAGCCCTATATTCCATTCAGTATAAGCTAAAATATTTATACCATTATCTCAGTATACAGAAAAACAATGACTGCACAGATAAGCCATGCTGTTTCTTTACAACAATAAAATGAGATACAGACTTATAATGGCATCCTTGAGATACTACACTTAACAGCAGTATAGTGAAAAACGATCCTTTCCCTTTTCTTCTGTTCCTTTCACACTGTAATTCCACAGGATACAAAACCCCTATTTAAGTCTCCTAACCTTGATAAGGACTTGATCCCACTCTCATTCAAGTCAATGGAAAAAGATCTCACAATTAACCTCAAAGACGCATGACTGAGGCACTGAGTGGCAAAGTTATAGAACAGTATTGTAATAATTTATTTGTGAAAATATTAGGGGCTTTTTCCATCATGGTGGGGGAAAGCTTTTTTTCTTGTGATAGAAAATAGAAACTAGCTTTGTCTAAAGGTCAACCATTTCTGCGGAGAATGCACAACACTGAGACAGCTCTCACATCCTCCCCACTCCAGGCATTTGCTGGGGTTGTAGCCACAAGGTACTATACAGAAGTTACAAATGCATTTATGCTTTCAAAGTGGGAGAGGAAGGAATTAAAAAAAGCTATCTGAGGTTCTGCCAATGTTGGCATGTCTCCTCTTTCAAATACCTTAAATACAGCCTGGCATAGGAGTTTCTCTTATCACTAGAAGGACTTCAATGGACTTCAGATGCCAAACAAACCCCTTGACTCACTGTGTCAAACCCCAAGGGAAGCATTTGCCAGCAGGAAAAATACAAAGAAGAATGCCAAGAGTTAAAAAGTTAAGTCTGACTGATTCAGCATTCAGATCAAAAGACTACAGTTCTTCCTAGATTATTAACGAGCGCTCCAAGCAACTGGGGGCTCTGACGCAGACAAGAACCTGCACATCACAGGCATTCCAGGAACCCTGGTTTGTCTGCGCTGGAACAAAACCTCTGCAAAATATGTGCACCCTCCTGATTTAAAAGCATGCCATCTCTCGTTGCCTCTGTCCACACACATGCACAAGACTGTTAGGCACAAAATACTTTCTTCATCAAGGTTATGATCAGCAGAACTTTTTCCTGAAATTCTTTCAAATCTTTTAGCATCCGTAGTAATTTTTTAAAAGCTGTTCTAACAAGTAACATTGCACACAAAAAGCACATCTTTCACAACTCCAACAGACAACTAAAATAATGAAAATCCAAAATAGACACAAGAGGAGACAGCAAGTCTTCTCACCAGCTGCAACTTCAAATAAAGATTTTTGGAGATGGCAGAAGGAATACAATGATGCTTCAAGCAATGGTAACAGGATCTTGTAAGTTTAAATGGAAAGGGAAGGGCTTTTTTAACTGAGCATAAAACATGTGTGGGGAATGCTAGCAAAAGATGAAGCACATGTGAACCATGCATTCTGGAAAGATGAAGAGTCAGTCATCCAACTTTCCTTTTACTTAAAACTGTTTATCAACCAATTAATAAAACTTGATACATATGGATAACCATGTCCAAATGTAGCAATTAGAAATAGCAATTTTATCCAGTGTATGTACTTAGGGAAAAAAAAAACAAAACAAAACATGCTTTTTGAAGTGCAAGCTCAATGTCTGAAGTTATTCAAAACTGCTAATTTCTGAATCCTTCTTCCAGACAGAATGGCCCTTATCATTAGGCATGTGGCAGATAGTCCTGCAGATATCAAAAGCTATGGTGTCTAGACATAAACACTCCCCATAATCAAGTTTTAAACTGGCCTGAGCATTTCTCATGTTGCCAGTACAAACACCACACCTCTGATGCACAGCTGAATTTTTGGGGGGTGGAGGGGGCACAGGTAATAATGGATTTATTACTGCAAAATCTCACAGAAGAAATTTTAAGCCTTAAAAGGAAGCCAGCTTGAAATATAGCCAATTCAAACAAAAAATAATTCAGGGTAATTTCAGACTCAACATTCACCAAGTGTTCTGCCAAATTTCTTACAGTTTTACAGTAATTTTCTATAGTCACCTTTCATTGCTGTTCTGTAGACCTGCACAAGCATATTGGGGAGGAGAAAAAGAGATGTGACTAGTTCTCCAGAGAAAACCATAAAGATGACCATGACGTTGACTTCATACTGTACACATATAAGTGATTAAAAAAACTCAGCCAGAAAGTTGCTTGACACCAGTGTAATTCCACTACCAATCACTGTGTTTTCTATGGTAACAGAAGGTGAAATAAAGTTTGGCGTAAGTAGGGATCTTTAAATTCAGAGTGTACATTTAAGAACAGTCTTACCAAAAGTAACTTCTCCTTTGCCAGTCTTGTCAAACAGCTGAAAGGCTACTATGAACAATGCATCTGGAGCACACAGGACTGATTCAAATGCCACAAACTCTTGAAAGGATATCAACCTAAGGGACGAAGGAAAAAGCAAGAGCTATGAAACCACTTGCTTGCAGAAAACTGAAATGCAATATAATGTAGATTATACAAAAGAAATAAGATCACAACCAAAACATGTACAAAATGTTATCAATAGGGATTAAAATTTATCCTAAAAAGCACTATCACCAATGCTGTCAGGATGCCTTTATATTGCTAGATGGAAGTGACTTTGTTGAACAAGGAACTGTTCCTCTCAGCAAGTCACAACAGAACATAAAATAAGCAGAGCACTCAGCGTGGCTACTCACCTCAGCTTTCATGTCTAACTGAACTGCCCTCTGGGGGAGCCCACCTCCCTTCGCTGACAAGAGAGCCAATAAAGATATGAATAACTTCCCTCAAGAATCAGTACTTAAGGCTTTTGGAAAGCAAATCCATTCAAGACCTATGTGCTGCCAGTTACTTCAGAAGGAAGCGATCAGAATGTGTTATCTGTTTGCTAGCAACTTATTAGTCATCTATCACAGCCCTCCAGTCCTGCGTGTTGAGTCACAAATTTCAAGCACTAGTCTGCCTGTTCTTCCTCAGCCCAAGAGCAGTTTATTCAAATTCATCATTACAGCCAGGTTTCCAATATGCAAGTACAGTAGCAGAGCACAGTTAAAAGCAAAGGTGCCCTTCCTTAAGTCAGTTAATAAGCAGAAATGCATAATTACACAACTTGGCATTGTTTCCAGCAGATTTGATACAGCGAAGACCTTAAGCAGTTCTCATTTCTCTGGTTCACACCCAAAAGTTCAAATGGAGATCAAACTTCTATTTTTAAAGAGGTAAAGGCCAACCATTCTTCTGTTTTGCTACTTTAATGTCTACAATGTACAGTTTAAAATCATCTTCCAATGCGTGGCTGTAGGGCCTGTTGGCAATCTGGGAGGTTTAAGATTGCCCTCTCTTGAGGATGCTTTATGCCAGTGTAGCAAGTGGGTTCACATGGCAGTAGCTGAGGAACAAAGATTTATTTCTGAGAAGCACAAAATTCAGTGTAACAAATGTCAAGAAACACAGAGAAAAACAAATTATTATTTTTTTTAATTAGAAACTAAATGTACCCTTAGGACTTAGACTCAAAATGACATTGCAGACAGTTCAATGAAAACTTCCACTCAGTATGCAGTAACAGTGAAGAACAAAGTGTTTGAATAGGTTGGAAAAGACATTCATTCCAGCAAGATGACCCATGACTATACAGCAATTTCCAGTCACCCTGTCTTAAGGGAATTAATTTCAAGTCACACAGAAGTGTGCTTGCTGCACGTCAGCAGCCAAACACCCACAGGGTAACAGAAGTGGATTTCCGTGAAGAACATGAAAACACAAGAAGATGAACAATCAAGGACATTTTTAAAAAGCATGGCACAGAGAAAGCCAAAACGCCATTCTACTTTACCTCCCTCAATATATATGCACTAATTAAAAGTAAAAGAGTGCATATGTAGAGTCAGAAAAAGTCTAACAAATAATTAGCTCCGGGAACTTGCCACCATAGGTTATTATGTAGTGTGAGAAATAAATAAAAAGAAACCTCCTCAGGTATTCTTAATATTAAACTCACACTTGATGATGACAGTAAACATGTAAGCATGCCTTAAGCTTTATTGGCAAAGAAGCCAATGACTTGTTACATATACATTAGCACATGGGCAGGCCATCAAGTCATTCAAGCTCCTTGGGAGCTCTCAGTACTCCCCACTATTAGACACAGAATACACAGATACTCAGTCTTTAAAGGGAGGAAAACTTCCATCTCTCCTAAGCCAAAAGAAATTTTTAAAAATGCAACATTTCCTTCAATTTTAAACTAATATATCACAACCTACTTAGCTTTGCATTTATGCATATTTGTTGTTATTATGTGACTTACAAGTTATAAAAGCTCATTGTTATTCATTATTATTGGTTACATACCTGACAACTTCCACAACAGCAGATACAAAGCACTGAGTTCTTCTGTCCCAAAGATTATAAAGCCCACAAACAGAAAGAACAAAATAGACAACAGGAGACAAGACTCTAGAACAGTACTGTTCAGAATTAAAAATGTAAAATATCTGCCAATGCCATTTTGATAAAGCTGCTTTTTGTGTGAAACAACAACCAGCATATGTCCTTACCAACAGATCACAACACAGTATGAGAGCACAGAAAAGAAATACAGCACCTATCCCAGCAGAATCTCAGCACCATGCTAGGAACGGATTCTCTGTTATTAGGCCTGGATTTGATTAAACTCCACGTATTAATACCGCTACATGATTTTATACTGGTAGGAGCATTCTTTGTCAGTACTTGCAAGCAAAAACCCTCCCTAGTAAGTCAGAAATAGATGCTTAAAATAACCCCCTATCCATTTTTAAAAACAATTATTCATAGTACTACAAAGATTAAAAGTGTACAAATTGTGTGATTCTAGCCAGATTGTTAAAGAAGAGACATTAATATCTGCTGTGCCAGCTGAATTCAAATTAACCCAATTTTTACATGTTAATTAAACCAGCTATTTTCTTCTTATTGTATTTTTGCTCCCTAAGTAGACTAGCCTGCTAGTGATTCCCAACAGATCTATTCTAACAACAATGACGTATTCATTTACTTCTATTATGACCATACAATACAGTAACTGAGCAGTAATTTTTCACAGTCAATTACACGTGTGATTCTTAATGCTTAAAGATGCTGAAATAATGTGTACTACATAGCCATATGCTCACTTCTCTATACCGCACAAGGGTAGTTGCCTGGGCAACACATTTTCTCTCCGGTTTAGCATCACCCTTTTGGATTTAGCATAACCCTTCACTGAATATCATTAGGTGTCATTAAACAGCACATATTAACATGGACTTCAATATACTGCTTAAGAATTATTTTACCTACCTAAACAAGTGCTCATTTATGTTACAAAAGCAGATAAAAGCCTAGTGATTTTAACAGTGCAAAGAGAGGAAGCTGAAATGTTTACAAAATCTTACTTCAGTCTTCAAGATATCCTACCCAACTGGTCAAAGTTTTCCTTCACCTTCACATCTACATTATCAGTGCCAATATTGCATGATTCATTCAGGAAGGCTGAAATCTTGATATTTTAAAAACATACACCCACGAGAACTACAGTCCAAACACAACAACTGGGTATGGTGCAGCAAAACTGCTATTTACTACTCTCTCCTTCAATGCCTCTTCTGGTGTTCACACCCATGTTATCTGGGCACCACACAGACATGATGCATTCTCACCAGAGAAAGTCTGCATGTAGCCATGCAAAGAAAAAAGCCATTACCCACTGTAATAATACATACAAATGCAATGATGAAGAGGTTTCTTCAGAAATCAATGCATATGTTTTTACTGTATCAGCAATTTAAACATGATAACATAATGGGACACAAATTGAAGCTACATCTATTATTTTACGCTGCAACCTAGGTAAACTAAGTATAGTGTAAATTGGTGCATTAGAGGATAAATTTATATCCAATAATAATGGAAAATGCTGGCATTTCCAAGTGTTATTTTTGAATAGTTTGTCCTTTTTAAAAATAAAGCATACAGTATTTCTCAGTAAAGTGTTAGTTACTACAGTCCAAACAGAGATGTGCAGTAAATACTTATTTTGTTAGACAGATGCTTAAAAGTACAACAAAAGACTGAAAAACAGTATGTTTCAGTAGGCAGGATGAAAAATGCCTGGCCTGTTGCTGATAGGCCTTGAGAAAGCACTGTATTTTGGGGAGCTTCTGATCCAGCTGACACAATTTTTTTTTAACTAAAATTAGAAATGAGAAGCTTAAGGCCGGGAACCAGTCAAGGCTCTTAAGCCCATTTCATACAAACTACAGTCACACAATACAACACTTTTTAAAAAATCTGTGTTCTTATTGATCAACTATTTTGAAAGGCTTCTCTGGCCATCTGCAAGAAAAGCATTTTCTTTCTTTAAAAGAAACCTTAAAAAGATGCCTCTGTAAGAGGACAGAAAGCAAGCCTACCTCCAAATAACCCTATGCTGACTTAAGATGGAGGCAAAACTTGCTTCCATGGCAACGGATAATCACTGAACAACAGTCTGCCTTAAGAGGTCTCATACCTTTCTCACACCAACAGCAGCTCCTGTAGATACCCTCAAATCCTTAATCTCTGACAATGCAGGAATTGTGTTACAGCAACACAAGAGATTTTATCCACAGCCACCACAATGAGACTGTACGTAAAGATCTACTGTTCTTTACACTTTACACTCAGGACTTCTTCAGCTCTGAGGTAAGCCACTCTTTGCCCATTTATTTGCTCTGGTCATGAGTCTGAAGCTCTTGTGCTGTCTGCCTTTCACCCGTATGACTAACTCATTTTAGTATTTCTCACTGATTACACTTGGTACCTATACCTAACTTCTCATCAAAATCAGAAGCAATTAAAAAGCATTTTAAAAAGTACTAGGAGCAACCCTGGTGGATCCTGGGCTCAGACTCTTTTGGTGAAGGGTGGGTCATGCTCACCAGTCATGAAGAACAGATGCTGCTTCAAAGCAAAACAGGGATCCAAGACAGCAGATAAATGCTTCTAGAAATAGCCCAACAGTATTTTCAGAAATACACTAAGCCACTAACACTGTAACAGAATTAACCTGTCACTGCTCTTGCAAGCTACCTTCTATTTTATATTAGAAATAAAGCTAAATTATTGAAAAGACTCTCATGATCTTAAACGTGTATAAGTCTCTAAACACTGAGCAGCCTATTAAAAATGAACACTAACAAAAGCAGTTTTGTACTTCACTTTAAAACTAGGAGATCTGCACTGCCAAGTTGGAAGGAGTTCTATAGGAGAAGACCAGTAGGTCCTATTGCCATCCCTAGATTTCATTCCAGGAACCAAAAAAGCGACTGATCCTTACCTCAGACAATCACTCTGTGAATTATTTTATACACCACTAGAACAAGGTACAAATGCCTGGCTACATGGCAAAAAAATGCTACAGTGCCAGGTTAGAGAGAGAGGGATGCCAATCACTTCCTGAACTTCCTCCATTCTTTCACATATTAGTATGGCAGCAAAACAAGGAGACAGCCTGAATACCAGAAGAGACTTTCTAAAGACACATTAGGAACATGCAGTCCCCTGTCACTGCAGAGTCTGGACTACAAAGCCAGTCCTTACCCATGGCAGAAAGCACCAATTAGAAGCCTCAATTCTACACCGCAAAACTCCTACAAGATCACGCCAAGTTATGAAATCCCACCTTGTCAACAAGTTCACATAGGCTACAGTTTTACATTTCACTCTTCCTGACACCAGCTTATGCTTGTGAGGGAGATCCAAATCATAAGGTATGGATTATACTCTCAATCTTCTTATTACAAAATGGATTTAAAGCCATGCAATTTGGAAAATGCCATTTTTGCAGGCATCAAACCAAGGGAAGAAATCTGAGAAATGTTTAACTTTTTCAGTCAAATGCCATCTGAAGCCATCACTTCCTTGCTGCCATCATGCCAATGTTACCAATATAACCTTTTACTGAATTCTTTTACCAGGGGTAACAATCATTGCATTAACTCATCTGCAAGGTTTAATGTGCCCAGCTGGCAGATACATGAGGCTGGCTGAGCAGAAAAGAGAGCACAGAAAATATTACAAAAGTTCTCAGTTATGCATGCATCTGTCCCCTAGGAAGCCTGCATTCTCTAGTCATGCTTTATTTATCTCACATTTTACTCTCTGCAACCACTGATATGAGTCATGCCTGAAGTTTTCTGGTTTCTAAAAATGCCACAACTACAGACTTTTAGTCCACAGCTAATTATTCTAAAGTTTCTCTAAAGATACTTTAAAGGCAGGGTTCAAAAAATGCATTCATATGGGTGAAGAGACAGCTTGCCTGGGCAAGTATCAAAAGCAAAAACTAGGATTCCATTAAAGAAGGGGGGAGGAAGATGGAGGGGTAGCTAATCTTGCCTATTGGCAAAGTCAGCCTTTCAAATGCAAACCATGTGCAACCAACTTCACTGCTGTCTTCCCATGATTGCAAAGTGGCTCCCTAAATACCTTAGGTGCTCTTCCTCCCTCTTAAGGGAAAAAACAGTGACAAAAACCTTTAATACTGCTACAGCAAAACAAACCAGGGGCACTTTTTTCTACCATCTCTTCCTACACCATCTAAACTTATTTTGGATTGCTATTTAAATGTGTTTGTGGCAGATACATAAAGTAAACAGAGACAGAAAGACTCATGGAAGCAAAGAAAAGCAGGAGTTAGGGGAGCCAGCCAACAAGCATGGAAGGTTCAATGAATTAAAAATACATAATAGACAGAAAATAGTTTTCTCAGTTAAATGGTACATGCAGTCCAAAACACTTTTTTGACTCTTTCCTCTTAAAAGATACTGTATTGCTTTATGTATCTGCAGGAAAAAAAAAAAAAAGGCAAAAAAGGAAATAAAACAAAACAAAATCCCACCACCTTCAGGAATCAGACTGCTTTGGATGAATGGTTTTGTATTTTTTAAATGAACAACAGGAAAAAAAAAAAAAAACAAAACAACACAAAAACCCACTTACCCATCCTTTGTTTGATCCACCACACCTGCAAGGAGCTGTACCGTGCTTGAATTAGGCAAACCATCTCCAATTATCTTCAGGTACCGTGTGACAAAGTCATTAGGAGACATGAAGAATTCGCCATTCTTCTCCACACTTGCATACTGTTAAATGAATACAATATTTAGTGCCTCAAATACATCCTTTTCCAGACATTTATTACCACCACCCATAGTTTCCAATCAGGAGCAGGCTTATGTTACAGCAGATGACAGTTCTGCTCTGAAGAACCTACAGCCTACACCCAAACAGGAAAGAGTAAGTGGGGAGTACTCAAGCAGCTGAAGGTTTGGCTTCACAGCCAGAAGAATGGCAGATATATGATTTTTTTGTTTATCACGACAACAGTTTCTCCATGGTAGTCTAGAAATGCTCCAGTACTGAATTTTTTTTGAAGTCGAACAAGAAGCACACACACATTTGCGAACATGCATGTGGCATCTCAGGCCCACTGAAACTCTGACAGCAATGGGATACTCTAGCATATCTTATTTATCTGAAACGACTCCTTTGTGTAGCCATTCTACTTCGGGATGAGAAGGCACCCGTGAAATAACACTGCAGTGCTAGTGGAGTAAATGATCCCACAAGAGTGTCCACCTGGGGGTGCTGTTTTGGAGGAACTCCACTGCAACACCTTCAGCCACGGCTGGTCCCTAAGTAAAGGAGAACCTACAGATACTGGTCCTTGGTTGAACTGCTGAAAGGAGGCCAGAGAATAGCATTTTCAGAAAAACATAACAGAAAACAAGAACTTCGACAGTTCAGCACATTGCAGAAACAAGAAAATTAGTCTGACACCTTACCAAACACCGCTGGCGTACGTTATTCCTGCTTTATACCATAGTTACTGGCATACTACTCCAGAAAACAGCTATCAAAGGGATCCAAGCATATTTGCTCACAAGGGAAGCCTCCAATAACATGTTACATATCAAGGAAAAGAATATTAAAATATCTTGAAGATATTACATAAACAAGTAGAACTGCCTTTGTTACTACCCTTACCCTGATTCCTAAGTCACTCCTCGAAGTTTAGAGCCCTCACTTTCTGTAGAAGGATAAATTTAAAATCAGCCCTAAAAATATTTTTTGAGCAAAGAAAAATGATAAGGACAATAATTAAGAGGAAAAGAAATTCCAAGCAACATTTGCAGAACCATGTGTTAGCTTTAAGGGAAACAGGTTTGTCGTGAGATAACAAATGTGCACTAAGAACAGGAAAGCAACTGTTAATTTATATATATATATATTTTTTTTAAGGCAAGGTAGGATGATAAACCATTGTTGCAGCTCCCCACAGAGCATTATCTACACTAAACTAATAAATAAATGTCTACTGTACATATATTATATAAATAAGATGTCTATTGCTATTTTGTAGCCTACTTCAAAGACATGTTTTGTTTTACATTGCCATGGCTCTGCTAAGGGAAGGAAACTCCCAGTTTTCATTTCATAGAGCCACACTGGTGCCTGCAGAGTACCGTTATACCTTCTGTAGGCATTTAACTCTCAGAGGGATGCCAAAGTGTAATAGTAAGTAGATTATTTTCTTCTAGTGCTATATAAATACAGTCTTCAGGTACAGCAGTATCTTCAAGAAAAAAGGCTTCAGAGAAGCTAGCCCAAACAAAACATAACTTGCTTTGGCATCTATATATTGGTTAGCATTTAAGGATTCCTGTTTCAATAGACACTGTTTGTAACTCAAGCTTTCTAGCTGATACACTGAAAGGAATTTTGAATTGTATACTTTTATAAGAACTAGCAGATCAATTGATTTCAATGTAATCATTTGCAGGGAGACAGAATCTCTCAGAATCCCCGTCTCAGAAACTTTTAACACAGCTGCTATTGAGAAACAAATCAAATAAGTCAGACAACCTATGCTTCTATATTTCATTTTTTTCATCCAGGCTAACCCCCTGCTAGGGCACTCAATAACAGAAAACAGCACAAGGTTTCAGTGTCCCCCTGTTTCTTGTCATTGTGATTTACTCAAGTGTATTTGAAATCCAATCACGTACTCTATACTACATATAGAAAATGACCTTGGAAAATGTCAGCTTGATCACTTTGACTAAAATCTAATCTCTTAGGGGTTATGGTAGAAGACTTAGAAAAAGTAGAGTTACTCTTGGAAATTATCATAACAAAAAGAGAAAAACATCAATTCTATTGGCTTTGGAGGAGAGATATTAAAAAAATGGTTCTTTACAATTGTATTTTTCCCCACTTTGGCAATTATACCCACAGAGAATTTGATATTATACAATAGTACTTAATGGCTTTTTGGTAACTTATTTACATACATTTTTGATAGTCAAGTATTAACCAGTTCAACACCATTTTAAGTAAGATTTGCAAACATTTTATTGGGAGTTTTATGTATTAAATATGCTAAAAGTTGACTGTAATCAACTGTATTTAAACTGATAGCTTCATATTTATTTCTACACAATCGATACTATTCCTACCTAGCAATCATATTTTTTAATTCTTAATTGAAGTAGAAAGAATGGCTGTCAACTTATTTTATCAGTGAAGATCCCACAATCTGCAGAAGTGACCGTATTGGCCTCACCGCTTACAATCATCTGAAGGAGCTTAATTAACACTCTGGCCATCACTTATTTGTAGAGCACAAAACAACATACCACATTCACTCATCCTTTTTCTTTCTCAGTAGTAAGTGGCACAACAATTTCTGTATTACACTGAACAAAATATTTAGCTTATATTTCATTACTTCTTTTTGGTGGAAGGGGAAGCAGAAAGGGAAGGAAAAGGAACTAGAGGTGGTATTTAGTGTGCACAACCATGACCCATTCAATCCACCAAAACTAAAAGCTGAGGGAACTACAGTCCTCAGAAATGCAAGACAGGTGAATACCCACAGGTGGGTAGGAAACTATTTTCACACTGTTCTCAGCAAACCAACCAATCCCCCACCACGACTGAGTGCCACCTCATATTGCAGAAGGGACCAGGCTTCTCTCTGCTGTATTTATTCCCTTCCTCAATGCTATCATCTTCTTGGGTCAGTGGTCTACTCCCTGTCTACCTTTGCTGCTGCCTTGCTTCTGCTCTTCAAGTATTTACGTCTGAAAAATCACATTATTGCATTCTGTTTCAAGAGTCTTTTTGCTCTTCTGATAGATATAAGTTCCAGGACTTAATAAGTTAAATCCTGGCTTTCTCTACTGAAAATCTGATTTCAGAGCTATAAATACTGACAGTATATGATAAAACTATAAATACTGGCAATATACATAGTGACACCTACACATACAGTTAATAATAGCTCACAAGGGACAATGGAAAACATGCCAAGAAGTGCATGGAGAGTGAGGCATGACGCTGGAGAGCAGGAAGGTGGAGGGAGGAACTTGGAAAAGTATGAGCTCTCTTAGGCACTCAACACCTTCATAAAAATAATTCAGATACAACAGCTTCCCATAGCACTGTGGCACCTACCTCATATATATTCTCCACACCCACCAATTTCTGTACTCTTTTTTCATACCAGACTATCAAACTATACAGACACTTTACCAATAAATCTTAGGAAGGTTAGGAGTAGTGATTAAAATTTAGGAAATGGGTCAAAGAAAGCCAATTTCCAGCAAAACACTAAAGCACACTTCTCTCAAGTATGCAAGCAAGTACAGGAGTCATTTCTTTACTTGCATACTTCAATAGCAGGCCAACACAGAAGGAATTTTAGTTAAATAATAGACATGGCCACCACTCCACCAGGTGATCTTCCCAAAACTTCTGCAAATAAGAGAAGCAGAGATAATCCTGAAAGAAGGAAGCAAGCAAAGATAGGAGAAGAAAATGTACCAAATGGTCTAACAGCAAGATGTCTACACGAACATTTTACCAGGTGTAGGAACAATATTGAAACTCCCACCACATTCTCCGAACAATGCATTTTTTTTCTAAGATAGTAATACTTCTTCTGAGTCAATACAATAATCACTCAGGAATGTATCTGACTTCTTGTTGAGCACTGTTCAATTCTCATAATGGTATTTAAGTGTAACATGGTAATAATACAGTGAATGATTAATGGTTGGAAAAACTATCAAGAGTTGTATGCTGCAATAAAGGAGCAAAAGATATGAAAAATTTAAGCAGAAAGAATAAAATATTTACTTTATACATACCTTCAGAAATATTGTTTTCAACTCAGCTGGATCAGCTCTCTTGGTTAGAGCCACCTACAAGTAAATACAATTACATTAATATGCATAATTTATACAAAAGATGTCAAAGTGTCATTTAAAAGGAAGAATTCAAACAACAGAACAAGTGATGAAAATAAATGTTCACCTTAGATAAATTAGGTACTGCTTTAGCTGGCCGTGCTTATTTCACTCATTTCATATTTACACTATTATTCAACATTTTTGTTATAACTGCTTCCCTTATGCAACCCTGCAATTCTTAAACAAGCACACATTAACAAGTCATAAAGACATTCAAGTATCAATCTTTTCAGCATACCTCTCTGCTGCGATTCGGCATCTTTAGCATATAGATTTTTATACTTCCAGCATCTTTCACCGAAGGACTTCAGAGTAGCATACACAACCCCCTACTGATAGATGGCAAGAATAAAATACTCAGACTTATACACTTGTCCAAGAAAGCAACTCCCTAAAAGACTGAATTCCAATGTAGTTATTTGGTTTATTGGTACTTCAACCTGCTACTTCCAACATTTTAAACTATTTAAACTTACAGCATAGACCTTTTGATGAGGTAAATTCAGAAAGCACAGTATCTAGATTTTTCTGCAGAACAGACAACTAGCCAGTTCCAACTAAAATCTGTAACATTTATCACCACAAACACTGATTAATTAATTTTTTTTTTTCCCCAAAACTGCTGAATTAAAAAATATTCTATATCCACTATGGAGTAAGCCCATCAGTATTTTCCTTGTTGACATCTGCTACTTTTGGCAGTAAGTGGATTCATCCCCTCAGTCTGTGCCTGCAACTGAGTTTCCCTTTCCTTCTTCAGGACACTTCAATAAAATCTTGCTTGCCAACATAATACACATAATTTGATAAGTGAATTGAGCACACCAATCTATTTCTAATAAAAAAAAAATTTACTTTGTAAGTAAACTCAGATTTTCAAACAAACGTGTAAAAACATCTCTGTAATGGGCAATAAAGAGCCAAAGGGCAAGATGTAGAATCTTACACGACTACCTACTTTTTTGACTCTCCAGAGCAATGGTAGACTGTAAAGGCAAATGTGACTGCAACTGCATTTCTAGTAGCACACTAGGCTACTGCAGAAAACGGTAGGAGTCTGTGTAAATCTATACAACAGCATTATATCCTCATGCATACATTTAATGAAGAATCTTTAGCAAATTTTTCCTTACCCTAAAATGGGTCATTTGAAAACTTAAAAAAAAAGACAAGAAAAACACACACACAAAAAAAAAAAAACAGAGTATTTTAAGAAAAGTGTATGAATAAGCTTTCTCATAAAATTTTAGAAGGTTGGGGTTTTTTTTTTTTTTAAAGGGAAAAACCACACCTGAAGTTATGCTAGGATTCAACTGACAGAGTCCACAGCTGGAGTCCCAATTCTGTGTTTGCACAGAAATCTGTTTGGAGGCAGTTGCAAAAAATCAAAGTGTAATTGTGCAGCTGGGAATCTAAAAATGTGTATTTTCTAAAGTACAAGCTGTCCTAAATGTAATCACTGTGTAGTAACCAGAGATTTAATTTAACCCCATTTGTAAAAATCTGGTACTCTACAGCAACTGGAAACTTTCTGGGAAGAAAAAAGCCCAACATTTCTATACTGCTGCAATTCAGAACCTTGCCACTACACAGACAAACAAAAGACACTTCAAACACCTATAGCCGTTAAAAATCAGTCAGTATCACACTTCATCTGCCTTAAAGTTTAGATTTTATACTGTCCCAGAAATCTAATCCTAAAGAAACCAGGGATGAAAACAACAAAGGAAAAGGGTACATGCTGATAGCTGAACTTACACTAATTTTCCTTTGGTTTCACTGACATTAACAATCTTGTGAGACTTGGGAGACAAAATCTGCTCACAGCTTAGCTGCCATTTTTCAGTCCCCTTTTGATTATGGGCAGATTTTGGTGTTCTTTTTCACAGCAAGTTTCTTTCAAACCATATACTGAAAGACAGGCTGAAGCTGGTCAGGTCAATGAATGCATAGAGGCACTTCAGACTGGCAGCCCAAGCAGTGGCTATGGACCACAGCTTCCCTCCATTTCCCACAATCTACTTCCACATTCTTCCATTTGCCAGGAAACAGGAGAGGAAAGGGATGGTTAGCACCGCCTTAATTGGTTTGACCATGTGTCATCCACCAATCTCCATTTTGAAAGGTGTATTTGATCCCAATTAAGGAAAAGAGCCTCCATTACATTATGTTACAGCTCCAGGAGAACTGATGCTAATGCAGCCATACCAGTGCTAAGAGGCGAAGTATTTAATTCAGCCTTTCATCCACCCCCAGCTGTGGGCAAAGCTGAAGCTGCACTCACAGACAGAAGAACTGATCCCGATGACAGGCATTACTAGCAGATTCCTCTTCTTGAAAAGGTCAAAATATCGCTTTCAATACCATTCTGAAAATTGTTCCCAGTTATGTTAGCAGTTGAAGGTGGGCTAAGTAAACTGATGCCAACAAGACTGCAAGCCAACATGTAGCATGCCTGATGAAAAGTGATCCACAGACACAAGCTGCTTTTCCTTCAGTCAACCCAGGTGATATTTACTGACTTTCATATAACCAGGCTTAGATGATGTGTTTTGTTACTGGAAAGACTTCTCCATTTTACTTTATCTTCTCTCCATAAAGACAAAAACCGTCCTGAGATAAAACCAGCTATGAGCTGGTAGGCATGACATCTCTCTAGTTGTGTGAGGAGGCATTTGACAAAGCAGATCCGAGGGAAATAATGCTTGCCACTGCTCTTTACAAAGAGATGTTTTGTAACAGCCACTAACACTTCAAAAAAAAACAGAAACTCTTATTAAGTAAGGTTCTGTGAAGAAAACTCTCCAACAAACAACACTTATTTTTAAAAGAGACAACAGGGAGTACAGAAACTAAAGTGCAGAAGTGTAACAAGGTCAGGATATGCTACAGAAAAGACTGGGATAATATATAGAAAATATCAGCAGGGATTTTCATTCCTAAATACTTCTAAGTTTTAGCCAACATACTATGTGTACAAATGCATTATAACATATACAAAGAACCAGTCAGCACAGGCAATACAAGAATTGAATTTAAAAATGCTGAATCCCTCCCATTAGCAATGAAGTTCAGCAAAGAGAGACAGAGGCTGCACAGGGAAAGGGAAAGCTCTGTAAGTGAGGGACAGTAACACTCAAGTTGATTTGCACACTGGAGCTGTTCATATCCTTAGACTCCCTTACATCTTGGTCTTAATTTCAGCCCATTTTCTCCAGCAGAGCTCTTTTCTCCTTGTTGACTTATGCTTAGTTTACACTGACATGCTTTTTCAGTCTCACTCTCACCCTCAACAACAAATGCAAACACTCTTCCCAGCAAAATGTAACTGTACAACAATGCAAGAAAACAGAATCCCCTGGGAATCAAAGAAAATTATATTACATTGCCAATTAACTCTATTATTTGTCATACACAGAGCAGAAGGAACAGGTTGTCTGATAGTAAATGATATCAAAAGATACAAAAGGACTAAGAAAGTAGTGAGTGTGCTCCACCCAGTAAAGAACAACAGTAACATGGGTGAGCAAGAGAGAAAAAAGGCAGTAGGAAAATCAGAATTAATGTCAATATAGCATTAACCCAATGGCAAATACAAGATGTCCAATCTTCTCACCTTTATGGTAAAGATCACTTTAGTAGACACTGTTTGGATAGAGAAGACCGGTAATGGGGATCCAGGAATACTTGGGAATTGCTATAATTTCTATTCCAGAAAGTTTATTTGGACAACAGCAAGTCCTAACCAAAGCTAAAGAGATAAACATCTCTCACATTGTTTCTTCCTCTTGGTTTAACCTGAATAGAGCTCAAGCACGAAGAAAGTTGAGGGAGGTAAAGATGTCCCCCTCTACCTCATTATCTTTAAAAACTAATGATACTGAGCAGGTAAGATATTGGAGAGCAGCCCTTCTCCAAGCAGAGAACCAGAGCTGTGGCAGGGCTGCCTTGCTGCCAGGCACTGGTGAGCTCAGCCTGTTTAATTTTAGAGAACACCATCTACGAGCACATACGAAGAGAAGATGCTTGATGAAAGGCCCAACAAATGATCACAAACTCTAGTAGCTTCATGTTGAAATTAAGATTATTTTTTAAAAGTTCTTCCATTCTTAAACATGACTAAAGAATGCACTGTATTTGGTACCACTAAAAGACCCCAAATCAAGATTGAAACCTCATGTCTTCTAGAGGTACTCTTTAGTTTCATCACAAGTTATTGAGTCCACGTGTAAGACAAACACATGTGGTCCAGTTTATGTAAGAGGTCAGATTAGATCATCATAATTTTTTCTTTCTGGCTGAAAGTATACATATATACTCAAAATGTGCAGCTCCAAAGGAGATCAAACCAGGTTTTGACCTTACATTCTTATTTAAATGAGTGACTGGAATATTGGAAAGCAGTTAAAGCACGGTTGCTGGACAAGTTTGAATTCAGACCAGAAATCTATTAATACTGTGTAAGTATCATGCTAAAACAACACTCCAGTTTGTATTTTAACACAACTAACTTGCTTACTTACATGAGAATCACCCTTCTTCCATATTTACACTACTACTACTGCAAACATACACAATCATTCTTCTAACCTAGCAACTCCCCTTGATCACTTTCCACCACCACATGCAGCACCTTAAGTTACAACAGTGTTCTGCAACAACATCTGTCCAGGGCACCGTCTCCTGTTTCAACTGCCCCAATAACCATTTTTCATTAGCCCAACATGCTTCAGCTTTCCCACCCCAGCAAAGGCACTGCCGTTCCTTCTGCACAACAGAATCCAAGTAAAAGAACTTGACTGTGATCTGCAATGGAACGTGAACTGAGCAGAATTTGGCACCATGGGGAAGTCTGCAAGCAAGATGTGGACCAGCTCACCAAGCAGGGAAACAGACAACTGCAAGGAGAGCTGGCACAGAATGCTGATCAAAAAGACCTTTTCGCCAAACCTCCCTAGTGGTAAGCTGAGTATTTATCCTAGTAAAACATAATCAGATGGCATTTGGCGTACCTACCCAAAGACTTAGGGTAAGAAGCACTGTAAGAGAAGCTGGTGACTACTAAGCAGGTACATTCAGTCTCATCAGTCTGAGCACCATCAGCCTTGACAGTTCTCATCCTCAGAGTCCAACGTTACAATTACATTTTGCAAAAGTGTGACCCTACACTAAGTAGCAGTTACTGCATTCCTTTGCCTAATAACACCTAGCTAAGCTAAGAAAAAGAAATATTAATACTAATCAACAAGGTCTTCTCAGATCCTACAGGCTGATCAGTATGTAGAGCTACAGAAAAAACTCTACTGAAACTAGACAGTTGTGCT